GCACATTCCTTTGTAGTATCAAATCTTCTGCTGCACTAAATACATTTTAAAGTCGTTTACACATCTTTAACAGAATTTGTCTATTAGTTACTCTTACAGCTGCATATAGCCGTTTCTCTCACTCTCACTCTCCCTCTCTCTCACACACACAATTGCAGATCTCAGCATGTGTGCGGCCTGGCGGGCAGCGAGAATTGCATTTTATTTAAATATTGTTTTATTTCATGCTGCTGGCGAAGCTTTGTCAAAACATGTGTTAAACGAGACAGCCAAAGAGTGAGAGAATGTGTGTGAGAGAGAGAGAGAGAGAGAAAGAGCAACACGACAGCAACAAATTGCGTGGGCAAAGGCATTTTGTGTTCATGTGGCACATTTAGCTAAAAACCAAACAACAAATGAAACAAATTAATTAAAACTGCCAGAAAATCATTTTTCGAATGGCATAAGAATAGAAAATACAAATTTGTTGCAATTGCTACAATTGTTGTTGTTGTTGTTGCTGCAGATGTTGAATTATTAATGCTTAACTTATCGAAAATTAAGATTGATTGATTGAGCCAGCAATGTTATGATAGTTCATTTAATTGTGTTTGACTTATCGTATTTGTTGTATAATAGAAAATCAGATTATTGTTAGATTGACTGGGCTGTCTTTGTCTCTTTTACTCTCTTCACATCTAACTCTATCTACCTCTGCTGCTGTCTTTGTCTCTATCTCGGTCTCTGTCTGTTTGCCTGTCTCTCAGTTTGACTATCTGTCATCTGAAGACAGAGTTTTGATATTTGTATATACATACATACGTATATGCACCTGCTTTACCTCATAAGATATTAAGTTTTTCGGGCTTATAATTAATTATAATTCGGGATAATTAATTAAAATATATTGAACTGTAAATCATATCAATTCACGTGATGATCTGAATAGCTCACAAGCCTATAATATTTTTAGCGAAGGAAAGCTGAGTTTATTTGGTTCTGTTCCTTTATCTATCCCTCTGTAAATTGAAAGCCTAGGGATTAAGCTAATGCAATTCATCAACCTTGTTTCAGATAATGCAATCAGTTTTTCCATTTCAATGATATAGATTAAAAGTATCACAGAACTTTAGTTATTGAATCATAACTTTAATTTGTTATAAAAATTAGACATAAATATGGTTAAAATATAGACCCATGTATAATAATAATTTATAATTAAGTGGGGATTCGAGAGGTGGCTAAAATATAGATCAATAATTATAATTTATAATATAGTAGATATTCGATATATGTATATAAAGAGACCGTTATGAAATCAATATACATACATGAATATACATACATATGCATATACATAAATCAATCACTATAGATCGACTTTTCCTCACATTCCCAACATGTTATAATAGTATATATAGATCTTTGTTTCATAGAGTAAGTATATTATCACATTTATATACGAGCATGGCCTATAAATATATCACATATGATCTGTAGTAATCTACATCATTATATATATTTAATAAACTAAATCGATTTCCTGTCATATATAAACACACTATAAAAAGATTTTGTTATTGCAGGTAACTTCATTAAAATTTTCAATAGTTTTTCATAATTATATACATAGAGTAGAAATCTGTCGTTGACTGTATAAGAAAACTATATATATTCTTTATATACACAGATATTTAAATATAGATCTATAGTGTTCCCCATTTTGACATTTTTTTTTAAGTTTTCACCCAAATAAATCGTGCACTCATTGAATTCTCTTTGGAATACTGAAATCGTACTTTGATGTTGCCTCGCTGTAGAGAGTGAGTGGTTGGGTGGTTCAGCGTTTGGGTGGTGCAGTCAGCCTATCGCATAAATATGCATATGTTTCACAAACATTTGCCAAGTTGCATGCAGCGACCCACAGCTGCAACTTGAGTGGAAATTCATGGGGAAAAGTGCTGACATTTGGAAAATGCATAAACGCAGCGTCAGTTCTGATAGGTATATGTATATATATACGTACTTTTATGCATACAAATATACAAAGTGAACAAAAAAACAAGTCTTGGCGTTAGTTAGACAGCGTTTAATTGAGTCAACAGGCAAGCTGGGGCCGCGCAGAGTGGCGCCCGAAGGAGCCATCAAGGCAGCATCCAGTGCCGACTTCATCCACAGCTCGCGGCACATTAAAAACTAATTTATGGATTTGCGAAAAGCCAAAAACTTGACGATGATTTATGCATGTAAACCAAACCAAGCGTAGCCAAAGCTAGAACTCTTCCAGCTAACCCCCCCCCTCACCCTCTTCACATTACTTACAGCACTTGGGTATCCAGCGGCAGTTGGGGCAGCACTTTGAGGCGGGCGCGTATGCAGCGCACGGTGCGAGCGAGGCAAGTGCAGCCGCTGGGGCAGTGCACCCACTGACCGTCGCTCACATTGACGAAGCTGGCCAGGCACAGGCCCAGGCCGAGCATGGCCAGTGGCCAGAGTCCCTGCATCTTAATTGGCAACAGTAGAACACGCGTAAGGCGAAACTCGAACGCCGTCACTCGATACTCTGAAGCAACTCAATCCAAGCTGAGCTACGATTGACTAACTGGCCCAGCGGATGTGGCACTAGTTGCAAGATTAGTGAAACGAGCCTCCAAAATCACTTGCGGCTTATCAACACACTCTCAGCCTCATGCCAGCTTAGTTTCAGTTCAGTTTAGCTTAGTTCGTGTTTATCTTTGGTTTACTTCAATTCACTTGAGTTTTCGAATTCAATTTGAAAATTTTGAATTTTAGAATTTAATTTTGTTTTTTTGTTTTTGTTTTATTCTCAATTGCAACGCGCCTTTTGCAACTGCACGCGCCAAATGCCGACGAGCATCTGAATGTTGGCAAAAAACGCGTGCACGATTCGGCCGTAAACCGAAACCGTAAAACCGAAGCGCCCCAGCGACTGCGGCTGCGGCCGACTACGGCCGACGATGCGACGGCAGCTGCCCGATTGCACGGCCGGATGCAGCGTGTGATAACATTTTTCCTCAAGTCACTCATGTGACTCCTTGGCTATGCACACATACATCTATATATCCATGTGTGTGTGTGTGTGTTTGTGTTTATTTGTATTTGCTGCTAATATGTAACTAAAGATGTTCAACTAAAACTTAGAGCATAGTCAAGGCCAAGCCGAAACGGCTGCAGAGAGAGATTAGCTGAGAAAAAGAAGGGAAGCCACTCGAATTGCTATCAATCTGCCACACACACAAACAAACACACACACAAACAAACACACACACACAAAATACCAAACCACTAGAAGAACAGCAACAACAGCTGATAGTTGAATGAGAATAGTGGTCTGAGCTAGCAGCTACCCTGTAAAGACAGCTAGACTGTCTAGATAAGCTATAGAAACTACTTGATGATGCCTACTCAGCTGCAACTATATGCAGGAATGACTTGCAAAATACCCTGTAATATATATGCAAACACAGTCTGCTACCCTGTAATACAAAGCTAAACTACTTTCATTATATGAAGCTGTCAGCTATTAAAACTAATTTAGCAGACCGAATTTCACTATTAATACCCTAATACCCTGTAATTTTCAACAAAAGTGCATTGCCCTGTACTTAACTTTCCTAGACAGAAAAAGCTAAACTATTTGCATTATTTTACGCTTACGTTAAGCCACGCCAAGCTATCATAAACTATGTTATACCCTATAATTTATGATCACCTATGATCACCTATGATCACACAGTAACATATAATTCACAGTATGCCTAAATAAAAGTTAAACTAAACTATAAAACAGCTCTATAATTTATGATTAACGATCATATACCCTGTCATTTATAAATTGACGAAAGAACATGCCTAAAAACCCGTTAAATTACCAACTTAAAATGTAAAACAATCCATTTGCAAAGTTTTGAGCGGTAAGCCTCAAACACAGTTGAGTTTATAAACAGAAGACTACTGTGTAATACCCTGTAATTCACAATTGCCATGTAACATTGATGTCACATAAGTGACGCAATTTATTTGCATAATTCTACTATTCTGAACCATTTACGACCTTATCCAACAAAGGTCGACTACATGATACCATGTAATTTGTCAACAAAGTTGACAAGTTGAAGTATTGCATTAGCAAGTTATTTGCATAGTACAACAAAGCTTGCTATTTAAGTTAAGTTGATACCCTGTAATGTGTTGAGGTAGGCAATATATATGCCAATATATATGCCAATTTTCCCAAAGTTCTATAATTCGTAACTTGACTAAGGCTATATACCCTGTAATTTTTTTTGCATACGCTATATAAGTATGCTATCTGGAATGTAGGATGTATTTGCTTAACATAGGGCAATATGCATTAGGATTACCCTAATGCTATATAAGGAAAATCTGTTAAAGCATACCCAGTCAACACTATTTTACGGGGTATGTGGAATAGCTAGCATACGCCACGTTCTACTGCACAGTTTGCTGCCATTGCAACACACAAAATGTTTTGCGCTGCTCATTTTTAATGCAGCACAGAAAGTAAAAGAAACTTTGCCAGCTAAAGGGAGATAGAGACAGATAAGAAAAGAGAGTGACAGAGAGAGACAGAAAGAAAGGGAGAGAGACGCATAGTGTGTGTGTCTGTGCACACTCCATTTGGGCCTGTCGAACTTGTCGCTTTTGGTGATAAGACGCGGAATCAAATTTAAAAGCTATCAATTTGATATTAGTTGAGGGAGCGCTTGTGAGATTTTAGCGCGTGCCAGGCTGCAGCTCAAACTCTTTGCTAGCTGCTGCTGCTGCTGCGGTTGTTGTTGTTGCTGTTTTATGCATAAATTCGCTGCAGTTGGGGCAACATGTGAGCCCCAGCGGCTGCTCGAATGCTCGTTTTTTGCAGCAAGTTTTTGAAATCAATTTACAGATGATTTATTATGAAGCATCGGGAGATAGAGAGTAGAGGAGGGAGAAACTCAGGGGAATGGGAAATGGATTGATAGCTGCCGCGACTGCTGCTGGTGCTGGTGCTGCATGCGACAACGGCGAACGTTGATGAATGCCGCTGTGTATTGTTTGGCTGTCAGTTTTGATCAAAATTCGATTTTAGACGGCATCGAATTGCAGGTGAAGTGGAAAATTTGCAAGTTATGCGACAGCTCGCTCAATTTCTCTTCTTTTTTTATTGGCCATAGATAGCGTTGCGGTGATTTGGCAGCAGGATTCAGCAAATTGACCGTATAACGGAAGAGAAAGCTGTTATGGGAATTGGTGCAGATGAATGACAGCAAATCGTAGCGGCAGTTGGGAATTCAAAGTCTTTACTGTTTCTACTACAAAACAAACAAATCATTTTCAATTGTATGAATTTGTAGCAATAGCCAACTATATTTCAGTGATAATACAACATTAAATTACATTACAACATTAAATTGACACTTCTTAATAAGCTGTTTCAATTTAAATAAAGCTCAGACCCAGCTCAAATCAAATTCAAATTAACCGCCATTCACAATAGTCAAATTTAAAATTTCATAGCAAATATGGCGCTCATGCGCACTACATGAAACATCGTTATAAAAACAGCTGTTTGCAAATGGTTCTATATCGATATAAATTGTAAACGATAACAAAATATACAAATATTGAAGCATTAAATCAAGAAAGTTTTAAAACAAAAATGTTGTAAAATTGAAGAAATATAAATGTAAACGTCGTTGAACTCAAATTAAATGTGCAATAAGTTAAATTTATGCTGAAATTCATACAATCGTATGGTGATCGAAGTGCGTTTTACAACACTGATGCGAACAGCCGTTCACACTGAGAAGGTAAACGGCGGCAACCAAAATAGAAAGAAAAGCCCAACTGATAGGCGTTGAAAGAAACTGAATTTTCTATACGTATGTCTTTATTGCTATGTCCAAGCGCAACAATATAACCTACGTGAAGCCACAGGAACCCAGTTTTTTGGCCAAACTTAAGGCGGAGATCGGCTACAAGGAGGGGCCCACCGTCGAAACAAAGGTAAGCTATTGCCGCAGTCGCTGAATCAAAACAAAGTTGCCCCCGCTCATGTTCAGCTTTGTTGCAAATAAAACAACAACAAAATAAACAGCGCCAAAGACTAGAGGATCTGGATCAGGAGGACTACGATTCTAGTGAGGAGCGACCTGAGCGTGAAGACGAAAAGCCACAAATTGTGGTCCTAACGCGTGGGGATCTCACGGCTGATGAGGTGGCCCTCGAGCAGCAGCGCATAGCGAAAGGTATGCACAAACACACACACACACACACACGTGCTGTGTATTTGTATATATGTATGTATGCTGTGAGTGTGCACTTGCGTTTGTATGTGTGCCTGTGAATGCGTGTCGGTGTGTGCGTAGGTAGGATGTAGTTATCGTCTGTGGCAGTTTGGCTTTCAGTTCAGTTGAGTCAGAATCGAGCGTCGGTCGCTTCCACGCTTCTTTCACGCTGCCACTTTCTGCCCTACACTGTGTACGTATGTCTGTCCAAATATATATATATATATATATTGTATGTATGTAAATATATATATGTATATCTGAACGTGTGTTTGCATCTGTCTGTGTTTGTTTCTTTTCGCGCGTGTGTTTTGGGTGTTTTTGCAATTGAAATCTTGCAAATTTATATGTACATGAAACATAAACAAAATGCAATTGAAATACGCAAAAGTGCAGCAAACCGAACGGCAAAAAACACCGCGTTCTACATTTTAAATTTTTGCGGGCAATTCAAAGTGTTCGATTTTCTATAAATTCTGTTTTTTCTTCGCTCTCTGTGTTTGTGTGTTTGCGAAAATACGAATTTGTTGCAGTTTCTCATTTGTTTGTGCTCAATGGAAAATTCATTTTCATGTTCGACTTCAATTCTAACCTCGAAAAATTGACTGAAGAGGGAAGAGTGTGTTGGTGAGGGGGGAGTTGTAAGTTCTATGTACCACGCCCGCAACGCATTGCAACGCCTACTGGCGTCTCTATGGTAGAAGTTCCAAGTGCCAAGAGCCGCATGCCCTTGCCTTTTCCTGGCTTTCGATTATTGCAATTAGTGTGGCACTGCCAGCGGAGCACCCTCATGCACACACACACATCGATAGTCACAGACACACACGCACGCACACATAGACAGCGGGCACAAAGCATACACACTGACATTTTCATTGGGGCTCCGCTAAAGCGGAGCATGTGATGAAAATCATAGCTGAAGCGGAGCGCACGATAAAGCAGGCAGCCAAGAGAAGTTAACAAATAACGGCGACCCACAGCCGCCGTCGCCGTCGCTGCCATCGCAAAACCAACAACAGCTGCCGCTCTGTTGCTGCTGCTGCCGTCGCCGTCGTTGCCGCCACCGTCAGCCATCGCCATCGTCGTCATCAACCCGCCGCTGCCGCCGCCGCCGCCACCGCTTCTACTGCTGCTGCTGCTGTCAGAAGGCCCGCGCAGAAAATCGGGTGAAAACGTGTGAAAGAATGAACGAAGCAGCAAAACGGGAGAGACAATGATGAACGAAACAGGCGAACAAAGAGAGCACGGCAAGTGGCTTGACGACGACACATGTATGTGTGTGTGTGGATGTATGTGTATGGTCGAAGGGGAGCTGCGACGGCGGCGGCGGTAGCAGCAGCAGCGGTAGCCACTGTCTTCTGTCCAATGGGCGAAGAGGTGGAGGCGAAGGAGCAATGCAAGACGCTTACTCAGATGGGGTTGAGTGGGCTGGAGGGTGTTAAAGAGGGATTTGTGGGCGGTTGTCGGGAGGCAACTAGGAAAACGCTCGCAACGACCAAGAAATGAGTTAAAATCAGTTTCTATCTCATTTGTGGGCGGACGCTGGACGTGGAATGGGGCGTGTTGCGTTGCACGCGGAGGCGGAGGCGGAGTCGTTCACTGCATAAAACTATTATTACTATTGCAACAGCCCATATGGCATAAAAAAGACATTTATGTTTGTCTATAGATTTTATAGGACTCTGCTTTATGATTATTTTACTAATGACCAAATTCTTGCATTGCAGAAGAAGCTGAGAGGCCAGCGGATTTGAGCCAACCGATTGTGTTTAAGCAGCGGGTTAAGCAGCCCAAAATCCAAACTGAGGACAAACCAGAGAAATCGGAGAAGCCGCAGAAATCGAAGGATAAAAAAAGCAAAAAGTCAAAGTCGAGCAGCAGCAAATTGTCGTTCAACGAGGACGAGGAGGACGCCGAGGCTGGCGAGGATTGAAATCTATAAGAATTTCAACAAATATCCATCTATCTGTCAATATTGTATTCGCTGCTGTATCTACGACTAAGCAGCAGCAGCCTCTTTGTATGGTTGGCCGCAGTGAATGGTTAGGTGAGCGCTTAAATCTTTCACAAACACACTCAAAACACACACACACACACATACACACACACACACACATACATATGTATAAACGTAAACTGCGCACTTAAAATTTGCGTATAAAATAAGTTACATACATACATACATCTCTATCTATATAAGTGTATATATATATGTGTGTGTGTGTGTGTCTGTGTACATACATATGTAATATATTGATTATAAATGGCTAAGTGGTTGTGCTATAAGCCAAGTTCTTATGGGAATGCGAAATTTTTAGCGTTTTGTTTATGTTTTGGCAAATGAAATTTATTATCTCTATACATTTTATTCATATTATGAATTTAATTAAGGTTTTAGCTCAATGCTAAAACTCTGGTCCTGAAATCATTATGAGTTTCTTAGTTGAAGAAAATCGTTCATAACTTCATAATTCATACAACAGCTTTTCCAAATGGAGATCATATATCTATAAGCTTTGATCTTAGCTTAAATTGGAAACTATATATCCGACTTGAAACCGTAATTGTTAGTAGTGTTAAGTCTAACATATTTTGGCAACTTTTTGCATAGTTTCTATTCTAAATCTGATATATTTTCTATCAGGATAATGTCATATATGAATATTGTTTTCCAGTGACCTCAAATTAATCTTCATTTTCACTAACATTTTGTTGTATATGACGGATTCGTAATCTAAATGGTAAAACGTTTAGTAATTGGTCATACTTTTTCCATGTAATATGATATATGTTTAGCAAACGTATAGCGGTTACCTATTTATATATATTCCAATACATATGAATAAGTATATCCATATACATCAAAATATGTGCAACCTAATGGACTGTATAGATTAAATAACTTGACTAATTGTAATTGAAATGAATAAATCCAATTTAAGGCTTAGACTTGACATAATATTTAGCTTAGCAATTTATAGATTTCGTTAGGGAAAGTATCTAAAGTATTTGATAGAACTCAGCTGACAAAACACCAACAACTAGGTAACAATAGATTTTTATTTGAAGTTTATTAAAACATAATTACTAAATAGTTAAATGACCTAAATTTATGTAGATTATCTACTTCCTTGCTTTAATTATCAATACCTATATAATATATACATGTGTAATGTAATATATTTATATAGTTATTATTATATAAAAATTACGCCGAAATGAAATATTTGTAATATGTACCTCCGAAATTTGGCTTATTCATAGAAAAATTTTAATCGCAACTCTAGATACTGCAAATTTGAAATACATTAAAATGAGTCATATTTTGTTATTATATTTTTATCATATTGTGTTATATGTATAAAAAGATGTATGTATGTACATAAATACAATATATTTCTATGTGAACAGCTAACTAGAAATATAAATAAGTAAATGCCATTAAGTATTTTACTATTATGACTATTTAGAATGTTATCAAACTAATTATTTAGTTATTTTTGGCTGTAACCTTGTGACCTTCAACGAAAACCTTTCAAAACCATTCTTAAATTACATTGAGGTACTTTAAATTTCGGTTTTGAATATGGTATCCTTAAGAATAATATATCCTTAAGATACTTTCTCGCATTGGAGAAAAATGACATTTTTAGCTTTCAAAATATCCTTTCGAAAATCTTTCGTTCTTAACTATAAAAATAAGTAGAAAATAAAAATATCTGCAAGGTTAACTTTCTTAGAAATTATATCTAAAATTCGCATGACAACCGACGCCGACGACGACACAAACCAGAGAAAAGGTCACGTGTATGTATAACAGAAAAGTTTTGTTATCGTTTTATTATAAATACATACATACATATATACGATATATATTTGTATATATATATACTATTTTACCGATAGTTGGTGGCTCTTAATGAATCCCGTGGCAGCGGTTGCGGAGCTAGGCGAATGCCAAACTTCTACCAGTTGCCGATCAACGGGGGTGAGAAGCGGGTTACTTTCAAATTTGTACTTGCATATAGACCAAATCACACACACATTGATGTATACATATACATATATTCACACACACATGCATACAAACATGGCATTCAGCTTACATACATATATACATATGAATAGACATACTTATATAAGTATACATACATATATATGTATATGTGTGTGTATATATATATATTTTTGTATGTTTGTATGTGTATTGTATTATATTGGCCCATAGCATGCGAGAGCGACTGAGAGAGAGTGAGCGCGAGCGAGAGAGCAGCAGCGTAATCTGAAATAAGTTGGGAAAGAAGAAGAAGCATCAGCAGCGCCAGCAGAAGTATCGTGATGAGTATACAGTTTTAAAACTTACAGACGGGGCAATCGCCGCTTTGCCTATGCTTACTACACTTGATACATATATGTATGTATATGTATATATATATATATGTGTGTGTGTCGGTGCCGGTGTGAGGGCGCATTGAATATTGGTCTGTCTTAGGTGTAACTATTATTGCCACTAATAAGCTGCAACAATATCAACATATACTGTAATTCGTTTGCGCGGGAAATTTTCAAATTTTTGCGAATCGCAGACTCACAGTCTCTGTTACAAAGAAAAAAAAGAAAATCCATCAAACACGCCGGCAACTGCGTCGACATATACGTTAAACGACAACACAGGCAGCAGCAATGCCGTTTCAGTTTTGTTTTGTTCATTTCGTTCGTACGCGCGGTACAATTGTCAAATTTGTTTTTCCCTCCCATCCATCCATTCACATGGGCGCGCTCCAATACTACAACAGCTACGAATCCACCGACAAACACGCATGCACCCATACACTTAACCGTAACGACAACGGTTCGTTTGCGCTTCACATTGCCATTCGCTATTTTTGAGCGTAACACCTCTGAACAGATGTGCGTTCTCTCTAGTCGCTCTCGTTGTGCGCCACGATGCCAAAGTTGGCGCTCTGCCGACAAATATCTGCTTGCCGATCTCTATGTATGCTGCAAGTTGCGTCGAAGGCATGTGATTGAATTGCAATTTGGCAATTTTTTTTGTAGCTACACTATTTGCAACATGCAATAAACGCTTATTGCAATTTTATCGATTGTTCGATAACATTGGCGCGCCGCTCTTTGAGAATACATGCAACTCTGCTTACCGGGTTGCTACTCATGCAACTCTGTGTTTGTAGCGACGTTTTTCGCTTTTTTCCGCTTCCATTTCCAGTTTGCCTTGTTGTTGCCCCCGTCTATCGTCCGTTTGTCGCGCTTTAGCGTAGCGTTCTTTTTTCATTCGCTTCGCGTGTGTGTGTGCTCCACAATCAAGAAAAATTTTGTTGTGCGTTTGGCAAAAAAGATCCTTTATTTTTATTGTGTTGTTTATATGTGTTTTCGTTTTGTTAATTGCCACAATAACAATAACAACAACCTGCCACTACCATCTTAAGTGTGACGTAAAATGTAAATTGTAAGTTTCTGTTTTTGCTTTGTATATGTTTAGATCAGAGCTTGTTATTGTGCGATTGTTATGCAGAAATTTAAAGAATTTTGATTTAATTGTTTGCAACTTGTCTAAAAAAAAGCATTTGCTTACATACAAACAGCCATAAAGAAACACACACACTTGCAAACTAATACGCACGCATACATCAAAACAGCGACACACACATACATACACAAGCGCAAAACACGCTCCTGTACCCACCCGTACTCCACTCCACGCCGACGCCGCTAGCTACAGCTACAGCAGCAGCGAGCCACAGCCAACCAACAACCAACACAGCAGAGCCAAAGCCAACGTCGTCGTCGTCGTCGCCGTCATCGTCGTCTCACCGGCCGTCTGTCCGTTCGTTTGTCTGTTTGTCCGTCCCAGCGTCTGCGTGTCCGTTTGTATCAACATACATACATATAATTATATATATATATATGTGTGTGAGTGGATATATGTATGTGCTCGTATATATATAGATTGTACATATACATATATATGTGCATGTGTATGTGTGCTCGTTTTGTGCGGTGCGCTTTGTATGTATGTATGTAGGTGTGTGTGCGTGTGTTGTCTGTATGTATGTCAATCGTGCAGTTGCTGTGTGCTCGGTAACTGCTGTTTGTATGTGTGTAATGTATATATATATATAAATATATATATGTATGTACAGAAATATATATATGAATATACATAAAAAATATATAAATATATATATGTACAATTGTTTATGCAACACAGTACATACAATATATATTGGTTTTACATAGCTATGTACTCTTATAATATATATTCATATATATGTACATAAATATATATATTCTTATATATAAATATAATTTAATATGTCTCGCAAAATTTCATTTTTATGTTATTTCATACATACGCCAGTACATACATAGTTAGATGATATACATAACTGCATATAAACATGCCGATATGTATATACATATATATTTGTATTTACATATATACATATTAAATTGTATTTTAGTTTTAATCCAATATGGCAGCCATTTTGTCTCAATTAACTCTTCTAGGTTTTGCTGCCCCCTCTCTTGTTATGGGTCAAGGGGAGGGGATGTAACGAGGCAGGGCTAGCTTAATTCACCTAGATTTCAATTTTCTTTGCTTTATAATTTTTTTTTGTATTTTTTTTTTGGCAATTGTTAATTTTGTGTTGTGCTCTATTTGATTAGTTTTCTGCAAGTTTGCGTTTTTTCTGCTTCTTCCAATTCCTCTTTGCTCTGGTTTTTCGTTGATGTTTACGCTTTGGTTTTCAGTTTCTATGTGCCAAATATTTTCCAGTTAATTTATGAGCTATCGATTTACAGCCAATGGATATAGAATGTGTAAATTAATCAAAATTCATTTATCGATCTAATTGAACAGGCGCATCCTCGACAACAGCAGCAGCAGCGACATCTATCGACCAAGAGGCACATTCCAAAAACCATAGAACAAAATAACAAATGACTGAAGTCGACGTCGTTTTGCCGGAGGGCGTTGCCGAGCCCACAACCAATATACTAACCAAGGGGGCAGCCAACGACGACGACGACAACAACAGCAACAGCAGAAGCAGCAGCCCGGCTGAGACGCAAGATGAGCAGAAGACAAACTCTAAAGCTGATCTGGAGGAGGATGAGCAGATAAAGCCCGCTAAGGAAACGGAAGCAGATGCAGATGTTACAGCTACAAAGCTGCCGCTGGATAGCAATTGCAACAGTAACAGCAACAGCAACAGCAACGATGATAGCAAGCCGAATCCGAATCCTGCGCCCGAAGCCATGGATGTGGATGACACTGAGGAGGGTGACTCACAAATAACCAGCTCTAGCTCCACAGAGAATGGCAATGGCAAGGAGTCCAAACTGAATGAAGATGATGAGGACGACGAAGAGGAGGAGGAAGTGACCACCAATGGTGATCACGAAGATGCCGAGGATGAAAAAATAGGCAGTACTGCAGAAAACAGTTGCGATGCCGAAGATCCTCTAGGTGCAGCTACACAGCCGCCTGCCGATAAGGAGGAGAAGGAACGAACGGAGCAGAAGAAGAGGGTGGAGAATGCAGAAGAGGTAGATGGTGTCGATGACGAGGAGGCTAGCCAGCAAAGTGGCACAGCTAAAACGGTGACCGACTCGGAAGCCGATGGAGATGCAGATGCAATGCACAACGTGGAGGAGGAAGTGCAAGAGAAGGAGAAGACGGAGATTGAGAAGGAGAAGGAGACGCCAATGAATGGCTTCACAGAAAGCCCAAAGGCTAAAGAATCTGGTGCTGTTGTGCCCGCTGTCAAGCCCAACGGTCAGGCCACAGCAGCGGAAGCAACGAAAAGCAATGACGATGCAGCTGTGGTTAATCTGGACGAGGACAGCGATGAGGAAATGGCAGACCTGACGGAACAAAAGGAAACCCCATCAACAGCCGTAGCTGCTGCCAAGCCAAAAGCAAGTCCTAGCAAAGCAAATGCCATGCCTGCAGCGGTTGCGTCAAGCAGCGTTGATTCCTCGGATGATGCAGTGCTCATTCCCTCCGATTCAGATTCGGAGACGGGACAGACAGCTGCAACGCCAATGACGCCGCAAAGCAAAAAGTTGCCAGCCGTTGTGAAGCCAACGCCGCCACCACCACAGCCAGCACCACCAGCACCAGCCGATCAGGATGACGACGATGATGATGACTGTGTGGTCATTGAGGATGATACGCCGCCAAGTATTTCGCCCAGCGATCATGCGCTTAACAAGCGCAAGAGCGACATGGACGACCTGCATCCGAATAGCAAGCGACAGCGCAGCTCAACCCCATCCGGAATGGGTGCGGGCATGGGCATTGGCCTGGGACAGCTGACCATCAAGGATGCTCGCACTCTAATGCCACACGAGGCGGGGCCAACTATTGCAGGGGTCGGCGGTGCTGTCTATCCGGTGACCATAACGAATGCCGTAACCGGAGTGGCCACCAATCTGGGCAATACGCCACCGAAACTGGTGCCGATGGCCGGCATTGCAGGAGCCGGACTGGGCAGCACAGTGCAGCTGACTCCGTCCACACTATCGCTGACTGCTGCCGGGCTGCCCAGCATGACGAACAATGCGAATCTGTTGCCAGGCTTGACGGACGATATGTTCGTGCTGGAGGCGCCATCGTTTATTGTGCCCTACATCTATGAGAAGCCCCCGAACGACAATATACGCGAGGTCATCAAGGCCATTGAGACGAAGTATGCGCTCTCGGCCGAGGATCTGGCCGTGGCGGACAAGGTGGACGAGTTTGACATGATGACCGAGCAGAACAAAGAGGACAAAGCGAATGCGGATGGCACGGCGACAACGAATGCTCCAGCGGGTAAAAAGAAGCGGAAGAATGGCGATGATGAATCGTGGTCAGAGCAATCAGATGAGGATGACGATGACGACGACGACGACGACTCCGAGTCAGGTGTGCGCACCAAGGTGTTAATCAAGGAGGTCAGCGATGATATCTCCGCCCTGAAGAGCGCCATCAAACCCGCCGCCGCAGTCGTCGCTTCAGGCGGCGCTGCCTCGAATGTACCCGCAAAACCTGGCCAGGAGAACTACTTTGAGAGTCCCTTAGGCAAGTTCTTTATGGACATTGGTGTGGGCCTGGTGCAGGAGTATGTGCAGTCGGATCTGTTGCGATTACAAAAGCGTAAGATGCGTAAATCTCTGTCGCGGGATCCCAAGGACTTTGAGATGGCCATCAATGCGTTGAGCGGCAACCTGCAGGCCTCCAAGACGAAAAACGCCCCCTTCAAGTTCACAATGAAACGCTGTGAATTCTGTAATTTCAAATCCGAATCTGCGCTCTCCATGGCGAATCACTACGAAACGCCGCATATGAATGGCGTCTTATACAAGTGCAACTTCTGTACATTTGAGATTCGGAATGCCACTGAGATCGTTTACCACATGGAGGCCGTGCACAATATCAAGGCGCGTCTGATTAAGCCGCTGCCGTACCACACGTGTCCCAACTGCGGCTTCGAGGACAATGGCAAGGCGAAGCTGGCACGCCATCAGCCGGTTTGCGCCAAGAAGTTCCGGCCGGAACTGAATCTGGCGCCGCCCAACGACTGGGAAGCGCCTGCTAAGATACCGCGCATCAAGCCACGCCACGGACTCGTGGGCACAGCCACTGCCTATCAGGTAAGCTATAGAACAACTGTCCTAGATTAAGATGAACTAACTATTCCATATCATTTACAGGCCATGGCGGCGCAGGCAGCAGCGCAAAAGGCAGCGCTGGCAACCATACAACAGCAACAGGCAGCCGCACAGGCGCGCAATTTGCAGGCCGCCGCGTTGGCTGCCCAAAATGCCGCCAAGATGCGGCAACGCGCTCCTCAGCTGCCCAAGGTCATGCCCAATGCCAACAGCATGGTCAGGAATCCTGCGCCCGTACGCGGTGCCATTGGCGCCGGCAATGCGGCACTGTCGCTGCCCAACAGCTATCAACTGGCTGCCGGACAGCTTGTGCAGGTTAGTCAAACTAATCTGCTTTACCTTCTACAATATTTAACCGATGTCTATCCAATCGCAGCAAGCGTCTAAGAAGCCCGTCGCGGGTCAGCCGAGCATCTCAATAACGCCACTACCTCGACAAACAGCAGCTGGCAGCAATGCGGCCGCTGCTTCGTCCAGCAAGGCGCCAGCGACAGCGGCGGCGGCTGGCATGAAGCCCGGCCAGAGTCCCAGCGGCGGCAACAACAAGGCGCAGTTTGTCATCTGCGAGATATGCGATGGCTATATCAAGGATCTGGAACAGCTGCGTAATCACATGCAGTGGATGCATAAAGTGAAGGTAAACGCTAAATTATAATTATCTACTGCTCAATCAGTTGCTAATGGTTTTACCCTCTTGCTATTCAGATACATCCCAAGATGATCTACAATCGTCCACCGTTGAACTGTCAGAAGTGTCAGTTCCGTTTCTTTACGGATCAAGGTCTGGAAAGACATTTGCTGGGCTCACATGGCTTAGTGACAAGCTCTATGCAGGAGGCGGCTAACAAGGGCAAAGATGCCGGCCGTTGTCCCGTCTGTGGCAGGGTAAGTCTAAATACCTTCAAAAATTTACAATCTCCTCTAATTGCATTCCCCTATTTATATAGATGTACCAATGGAAGCTACTGAATCACGTATCGCGCGATCATCATATGACCCTGAAACCTGCACATTTATCGTACAAGTGCACCGTCTGCACGGCAACCTTTGGCATGTACAAACAGTTTGAGACGCATGTATATACGGCGCACAGCACCGTGGCCCGAAAGGCAATGGACAGCAAGAAGAATAGCGCACAGTCCAGTAGTGGTGGCAGTGGTGGTGCTGGTGGTGCCGGTGGCATGGCGCGCAACGCGCTCGGAGCCGCAAATGAATCATTGCTAAAGCCGCTGAAGATCAACGATGAGATCACCATCATACCACAACCCGCATCGAAGCCACGGATCACAAATATGGAGAGTCATGTCATAGGCAAGTCCACAAATGAAATATATACAAACTATCAGCTAATATATATATAAATATATCTTACTTGCAGATTAAACGGCGCATTGGATCAACCAAAAAGAAAGAAAAGAAATAACAAAAAAAAAAAAAAAAAACAAAAAACAAAACAAAAACAAATAAACAAACCTAATCTCGCATAGTTTTTGCTGCAGCATTTTGGCCGCTGGCGCGTTAAGATTAGTTATTATATGATTTTAAGGCTGCGCCGACGCGAACGTCTATATATATATAATATAATACATCTATGATTTGTTAGTAAGCCAGAACTGTATAAAGCGAGCGGAAAGAAACGTTTAGTAAAAACCACAAAGCAACCTAAACCTAAACCTAAATATACGTCGATCATTAAGAGAAATGTTACCACTTAACACAGATACACACGACTCTGATTATTCAGATACACACACACACAGCAGATACAGATACGGAATACAAATACGGATACAGATTTCAGATTCTAGTTACGATTTAGTTGATATATGTACGTTAGCATGTGCACATAAGTTGAAATTGTAGCTATTACTACTAATAAACACAATTATCATACCATGCATAATTTACATACACCTACATTTTAAGTACACACACACCCCCACACATATTTACACAACTACACACACACATATAAATATATATATTTTAAAAAGAAGCCGCTAGAGCGCATCGTCTACATGACTATGTAAATTAGTTAAAAACTAAATATTATTTATACTATTTACGAATTCAAGTATCTAAATGTGCGTTGCAGTATGTACATATTAATACACACACACATACACACTGAAACACAACAAGAACACGCCAATGGCAATTCGATAACAATAGACTCGTCTATTGTTATCGATAGGTCGTGTGAGAGTTACGTAAAGAACATGAGCTAGGCAAGTACGATGAGGGAGCTGAAAAGGCTTCCTAAAAGGGGGT